TTTCACTTTTCCTCTCCTCTACTGTGTTTAACTCGTCAAAATTATAAAACATAAGATTATCTCTCATGGATCTAGACTGAATGTCTAAGGCCCGTATTCAGAATCGATACTTACACTCACACTCAATGAGTAAATCCCATATAATTGCCTAACGGTTAAGACAGTCCTCACCTTTCAGTAAAGTGGTATTCAGATAATAAAGTAAGTGTCGAGTGAACTCAGGAAAGTTGAGAATCTGTAAGATTAGGAGGGGGCTACCTTGAGGTGTCCTCAATAAAATAATACTGAATACCACTTAGTTTTGAGTATTGATTTTGAATTAATTTCGTCCCATATACATTTAAGTGCATCAAATACGCGAACTGACAGTATTTTAGAAAATAAATGTTGAAAAACAGATACTTAGGAATAGAGATGATCCCATTAAATTTATGTCAGAAGTTGAATTTTATCAAAAATTTTGATTTTCAAAGGGGTGTACCCAGTGTGATACAAGTATTAACAGGGTATTCAGCTCGCGGGATACCAGTACTTATGCCAAAAAGAAATGAATTTATATGATTTCAAATTGGAAATTTCTTGAATTTCCTTTTATCCATGAAAATAATTGTTTCTGTGACTACTCCTGAGTTTGTCGATATGACCGTCGATGATTCTGGTCTCATAACCTCGGATGATTTGTCGTATGCGTCTAAATATAGGCATATGTATAACAGTTAGATACAATTTATATCACACTGTTTAAATTTCGGGATTGACATAGAATTTGCAATCTTATATTCAAAGATATTTTAAAGGAAACATGACAGAAAAAAATCTTCATTGCGTCATGAATAACCATGGCATAAAGTTAGCGTTGACGTCTGAGTATATTAATTAAAAACAACAATCAAAATCCACGTAGCAAAACAATATCTTGAACATTTGTTTAGCATGATTAATGTAAAATACACTTTACTAAACGAGTATGGCGTTTCAGTTTGTAAATTTAATAACAGCTGATAAATGATGTATACGGCTTCAGTCCATCACTATCAAACAGGGTTGTTTTGTTTGTTGTTGTTGGGGGGGGGGTTAATGTACAAAATCATTGAATTTGATTCAAGAAATTAAAAAGGTTATGATTATATATTTGCAAATACCAACGACAAAGATCTAAATAAAACAGTCGTGTTAAAAGCACTTCATGCCTCTTTCTATTTTAATTCTTAAAAAAAAATAATTATAAACTATTTAAAGTTACACTGAACGTGCAGTAATGTGTTATGATGGTAGAAAAATGTAAACAATGTAGTATTTTGACTTCCATATAAAAAGATAATGCAATATGATTATACCCTTTGCAAAAGTTGAAATTTTGAGAAATAAAATTGATAGAATTTCTGAGGCAAAATGTCATAAGATGATTAAGAAAGGGAAACATAATTGTGTATTGCAAAAAAAAATTCATTGACATAAAAAATTGCATACTACTTTCAAAATAAAGTTAACGCTATTGAAATGTATTTCTTTTTTCAGTTTAAAATGCCTGTTATAAGCCTTTCACTACTTTCTTTAGCTTCTTTGTTTTCGTCCTGTCTTTCAGGTTTTCCAACATTATTTTGGTATTTTGGCATTTACTACTTGAAAATTATTATATCCCTTTTAAATTTCTCCTCATGCTTTTGTTTTATCGAACATATATTTAAAATCGTTTTTTTTTTTTTTTTTCGTTTTTTCTTTTAAATACATGTAAAGATTTTTAATAATTAATTCTTTAACAAAATTGTTACACTTTTTTAAACGACATGGTTACACTTTTTCAATGTAAATTGAGTGATGTTATGCAATTAAACCGATCGGTCAACTTTTGAAGTCTCCCTCACGAGAGGTAAGGTTGAGTAAACAAAACGAATACCACTTTACACATTGTGAGTTACTTACCGTAAGTCTACTCCAGTGTTACTTGAGGCGATCTTTCGTGAGTTTGAGTCGAGATTGAGATTAAGTATCGTTTCTGAATACGGGCCTAAGACCTCTTCAGATAGACGTGAATTTTCCTGCTTAATGGCTTCATATTGTTTATCAATATGTTTTAATTTTGATGACTGAGAAATCAATTTATTATTAATTTCAGCTTGTTTTGTTTTGATCTCATCACAAATTTGACTATCATATTGCCTGCTGAGCTCTATATCCGAAACTTGTTTGTTTAGGTCGAAAGATTGTCTCTCCAAAGAAGACACACGTTCATCCATCAAGTTCAATTTTTGTGACATTTTTGTTTTCTGTGTTTGTATTGAATCAAGTTTACGTAACCGATTATCCATGGCGTCCAATTTTTCCAATATTATTTGATTGAAGTTTGTACCGTTACTTTGTAATTGTTGAACACCCGTCGGCTGTTGATTTATATACTGTGGGGGAGCTACGGGGTAAAAGCCGCCATTTATAGGTGGAAGCTGAGACAAAAAAACTCCCTGACATACCTGGAGATGTTACCGATGCCTGTGATTGGTCTGTCATTGTTACGCGTTTGCCAGGCTGGTCATTAGTATAATTTGGAGAAGAATCAGACTTGGTTCCCTTATTTCCCGTGTTAACACCCATTCAAACCATCGAAAATGAAAAGCTTACTCCATTCAACACACAAACCAAACTATATATCGCTATACACTCAAATTTCTCTTTTAAAGTCACTCAATCTGAAAAACCATACAGTTCAACCTTCAAAAATAGCACTTTTATATCCATAATACTCCGTGATTTTTTATATTTAGCAAAAGATTTGACAAAAATCCGAGATCGGAAAAATAACGTTCGCCATATAGGAATACAAAATCAAACGAAAAACATCAGATAAATGTGTTTATTATTGTTCTATGTGTTATTTTTTATTATTTATTTATGGAATTTTACTTATTTGTCAGTTTGAGGCTTATATATCTTACTTAATTTAAGTACCACTTTTGCTGTCAAATATCATGTTATCTATCGAAAAATTAGAAATTATGTATTTTACGCTAGAAATGTACAATGTTAATGTTTTAGTAATTATTTTATTCTTATTCTTGCAAAACCCTATAGATAGCCTCTTAAATAACAAAATGTCCGTAGCATGAAATTTTTAAATTTGACCAATAATAAATGTACATGAACACAATGATATACACTAAATGTACCAGTTACACAAATGATGGACTTACACGCATACAGTATACATCAATTTACTTAGAGATTTTTACAAGAAATAGTAAAAATAAAGTTTTCAAATTCGTGTTAAATCTAGGATATTTTTAATGCTTGACTGAGACGACATATTACTTTTAAGAGGAAATTTTACTGACCATTCAGTGTTAAAATGATATTTATTTATTTTTCACATAACAACAACTATCATGGATGTAAAATGATGTGTAAAAATGGCCATTTGGGTGAATTCTGGATATTGATGCAACAAAATGCTATTTTCTTATTTTTGAATTGATATTTGTCATACCACAGGAATCTGGAATCGTTTTTATATGTAAGCCAAACATATATGTAGTCAAATATAACCGCTTTTGTATTGAACAGTTGAAAAGATGAATTCATTTTCTCTAAACATTTATTTTAAAAGCTGACCATTACACTTATTTGAAAAGTTGACCTTACTGAAACATTACGTACATACAATGAAGCAAATCAAGGATGATTGTCAACTGAATGTATTTAAAAAAGAAAAAATAGACAATAGGCAAGAATTAACAATCCTATTAAAATCATATCCTAACTGACGCTCCGCTTCCTTCCACTAGGAAAGCGTAAACAGTGATATGATTTTAAGAGCTTGGAGATCGAAAACCAGTAGGCTTGAAGATAGAATTCGTGAAATTAGCGATAGAATTCGTGAAATTAGCAAAGAAATCATCGGCAGATAACAATTAATATTCTTTTCGTAAAATTCTTTAAAATGAACAATGGGCGAAGGAAAGACGTTGCATTCCTCGTGTTAACTTACATTTTACTTAATCTTTCTTTTATTGTTTTTTTTTTTTTGGGGGGGGGGTTGATAAATTTCCACAAAATCCTGTGGTCATACAAGCTTCTTCCACTACAGGGCACACTGTCTAATATATATGTGTTACACAATTAATATAGGACTTACACATAAATATTGGACACCTATCTGTACTGCAATAAAATAAAGTACGGTCAGAACAAAGGAATGACGTCATAGTAGTAATTTAAAATTAAATAAGCTTGATAAGACATATTTTTTATTTGTTCAGATCAATTATGAACCAAATTATCATTAAAAACAATTAAATTAGTTTAGCAGTGTTCATTGTAATTGTGGTAAATTATCAACTGCATAACAAATATAATTAAAATGGAATAATAAGACAAAGTGTGTTTTTTCATGTTGAAGTTTTAATATATTTAAATATATTCTTATAATTTCAAAAACACTATTACAACTCGTCTATAAATTCTGAAAAATGGTGAGGAAGAAATCAATTGTGCAACACTGTCCATCTTGCACAGGCCTTAGCAGTATAGAACTGATGTTGATACCAATATTCCTGAATAAAGTACTAGCCGAACCAACCGTGGCGTTATCCGAGTAACATTCGGGCCATTTAAGTGTATCCGAGTAAGCCGTGTTTGATTTTTAAAACTTAAAAAAAAAAAAAAAAACTTGCACGGATGTCATGACCGTGTATGATCGTATAAGCGGCCGTACAAGACAAGACCTTAAGAGACCGTGTGACACCGTTTATTCAACCGTATTTTAAGTCGACTCCACGAGTGAGCCCAACCGTGTCAAGATCGGATATAAATCGTATGGAATCGTTTAAGTCCTACATCCAACACCCGATGAACACCCAAATGTCACACGATCACATTTCGATTCACACGAGTGCAGACACGGTTTCATACGATCGGCATACGACCAATACGGTTCAAGGACGAATCATACAGGGCAGAAACGGTACACTACGGGTATACACGGTCTCACACGGCCTCGTAGGTCTTACATGGCCTCTTCGTCAGCACGGACTGTACAACGAAAACCACAACTACCTGCTGACACCCTCAACCAGTTGTCAACTGCTAGATCTACGCCAAAGAAGAAAGTTCCCAAGCACAGAAAGGAATACAAGAAGAGCCATCTAGGCCCGCCGACCACTCCAACCTGCTGACTCTGCCGATCCTGGTGAGCTGGAGGACCCACCGGCAATACTTGAAGATATACCCTGTCTACTCGCATGCCGTCGTGTTTAATCGTACCGGACCGTACCAGACCGTATTAGACCGTACTTTCTCACTAACCAGATAGAAAAAATCCGTAAATGTTACTAAAAATAGCGGTGTTGGAAAATCTTATCTCACATGGGCTTATCTCACACTCAACGTGCAGCACTTCTAAAAACGTATTCCTACACATACGCGATTCACTCCTATTTTAACAAAAATGAAACGTCAAAAGGTCAAAATGTATTAAAAATATGTGAGCTAATCTATTAAATTGTCCACGGAATCAAAATAGATTGATATTAACTTTCACACTGCAATGAGTCCTACTCTACCTAGGTCCGCCCTTTTCAATATCGATCTGTTACTAAAAATAGCACACTTTAAAATATCGCAAAATTCTTCGTAAAATCGGATATTATGACACTTTTCCTGAAGAACAGCTATGTTTTCTGTTGTGATTAATGACAAATCTCATTTTGATATATTTCAGGTAGACCATGGGTAATGCATTACCTCCACTCTTAAGAGTATTCAAATAGGTTAGAATCACTACATTGAAATTGAGGGGCGTGGGTTCAAACCCCAGAAGGGGCAACTTTTTTTTCTTTCTATTTTTCTTTTTAACATTATTTATGTATCTCTCTAATCCTTTCTGGAAGAAAAAAGTGTTTGATTTAAATAATATAATTATTGTAGGTATTTATTTGCTAAATAATGCCAAAATTTATAGCAAATATGATACCAGATATTTTCAAAGTTTAATAAAATAAAAACAACAAGGCTCGTTCCCAATAGAACCGATCACCCTCGGGTTGGGATTTCCCTAACCTCTATCTAACCCAATGATAGATTCTATTATGGAACCATACAACAATCGTATGTATTCGTATGCAAATCGTGTTCAAACCTTGCTTGAACGAGTATATCCGTGCTTTATTCGTGCATACTCGTGCTACATTCGAGTCTAACACGTATCAACTATTCCCCAGGAATACTCGTACCAGTCAACCCGTGTATAACCGAGTATACCGTAACGGTATGCCCAACCGTGTTCTGTGTGAGACGGGCTTTATTAAAAGGTTACAACCAAAAAATACTCTTATACAATATACAAAAAATAAGCCAAACATAAAAAATGTTACAATTTTAACATACATATATGCAAACCATATGGAAACAAAACAAACATAGGAAAAACCATTGTTGCTGCTGACATGGTAAGGAGAAAAGTTAGGTTTGAAAAAAAAATCTTTTATCTCAATTCGAAAGCTTTAAATACGAAAGTAGCTAATTGTTCACGTTTTCATACGAGTAAGTTCAATATATTTCAATATATTACAAGAAAAGCATTGATGCAAAGCGTCAAAGGGCGTCCAGCAAGTGAAGATGAACTAGTAGACATCTGATGACCAGATATTCTTATAAACTTTTCAATGGTTAATTGGTTTTAAACAGAATTGTATAATATTTATGAATGGCCGGACAAAAGACATAATATGTTTGCATTTCATTTCCTGCAAAATTCTCCAGTTCGTTATTTATTACCAGAACGTGACACAAATGACCGTTTCGTTAAACTAAAACTACATCTATTAATAGATTTTCGGACATTCACAATGTAAAAGTCATCATTTTATTTATAGATACAGCAATACATAATAACCCACTATGTACTAAAAAACCGAAGATGAGTTGACGGATAAGATAATTTCATTTGAATATGTTTGCATTGCGAAATTCTTCAGTTCGCTATTCATTGTACATATCGCGACATTTCATTTTTGATAATCAAACACCCTCATACCAATCGGAATGATCGGATTTTATGACCGACGAAAAGGCCCGAGAAGTTGCAATTGCCCTTTCACAAAATCTGATTTCATTCCATAAAGGGCAACGCGCTTCGGCGCGGACGCCAATGATATTTCCAAAAATGTTTGTCAATGTATTTTATTCTTAAGTTTTTATATACAGTACACTCCAATAAACTAGAAATGTGTCCATAGAGCACGGGTGTCCCCACACTCCACTGTTTTGTCAATCTTATGACTGTAAATTAAATATCTTTTGTGCTACACATGCCACAAGTTGAAAACTAAAAATCTTTTACCATGAAAAGAGGAAGAACTTAACAAATACTGATGAAATAAATCAACAAGCAAACCACAGTGGTACATAAGTATACATTCTGACCAACATTTTTGTAAACTTTCAGGTCTACAGGTCAATTACTCTTTGAACAATATATGAACAAGTTGAAAATTGCAAATTTGTACTAAGTCAAGGGCAAAAAGTGAAAAATATCCACATGCAAAAGCCCAGGAGCACAGCTTCACAGTGATGTTGATCTTTCTTTTTGTACAGTTGGTTGATTCTAACTCAAGCACTCAAGAAACACATAACACAACATAATGGAACGGCTTTTACTAACCTTTGACCAACATTCCTTTTTTTATAATTTATTTTTTTCTCAGTGATCATGCAGTAATACAGTATACATAACATATAATAAACTTCTGTCCAGATAATACAAAAGCATGGTCACAAAGAGTTGTTTTTTTTCACACCTAAATACACGCACGCACACACATCCGCACCCATACACCCAAATTTCCAATTAATAGATACCAACAGGATTTATAACTATATATATTTCAAACATAACGCACACACAAAACAGCACACACGAAACAGCACACATACATTTCGGGTACCATCGGCAATACGATACTCGTATTAGTGTAACCTAATAATTAAACAAAAACAAAAAGGGAAAGTAAAGGGGGTGAAAAATTAAATACAAAAGAACAAGAAAAAAACAGAAGATACATCTACAGTTTTTGACTGCTTTTAAACATAATTGTTTTATATTTCATGTAAGTAAGGTATTTTCATATGTTATATATTCGTATCTGGGAAAATTCTATTCCATTTTTGAAAATGAATTTCCAGTTTATCTCGATTAAATGCAATACATTTTTCAATACATAGTCTGCTCCGAAAATAATGTAAAAATAAGTTAAATTGTGGTGTGCGTTTTCCGATTTTGCAACTACATGTATATAGAATAAAGTAATATTTTGCCACCAAAAGAATAAAGTTTTTTGCATCTTTTTGTGTATCTGTGCTTGTAATTAAGTGAGATATTGTTTTTTAATTAATTTCTATAATAATATTACTTTTTTTGAAATATTCTATTAAATCCCTCCAAAAAAAGTAACGTGTAAGAACATTGCCAAAAAAGGTGTTCAATAGATTCAATATCCATTGCACAAAAATCACAAAGACTCGAGGAAGAAATGTTTTGTTGTAGAAGACTTTTGTTTGTAGCAATTATTCTGTGTAGATATTTATATTGAACATTTCTAAACTTAGTGTCAATCGTTGTTGATAGATTGTTTTTGGATGTTTTTTCCCAACATATATTTTCGTTTTCAAATATATTTTCCCACTTATTTTCTGCAGTATTTTTGATAATGTTATCTCGTTTTAACTGATGTTCATATAGAAATTTATTGGTTTCATTTGTTTTAATAAATGACGCTAAAATATTTCTATTGGGGGTATTGATATTGACGATGTCTAGATTGATACCTGTAATGACGTCAGGATGTATATTTCTTATTAAAGTCTGATATTTGAGGTAATCTGCATCAGGGATTTGATAAATTGTTTTAAAAATTTTAAAAGTGTAAAATTGATTAATTCTAAAGTCAAACAGATGTTCCAAATACACAATACCCTTTTTATACCAGACTTATAGAAGAATTTTTTTTCATTTGATGTTATTTTCATATTATTCCAAATTATTTGTTTATTATGGTTGTTACATTTTGGTATGACTTTAATTTGGTTCCAGGATGAAATTATATCTCTTAAAAACGGATAACTTTTAAATTTGCTTTGTATAAATTTGTCATTTATTTCACATTCAAAAAGTAACTTGCCTCCGTATCTGTCTAATTGAAAAAAGTATATAGATTTTATTAAAGATGTCGAGTCATCATTTATAATTTTTTTCACCCAGCTCGTTTTTATTGATAATATATATTTTCTCAAATCAATCATTTTTATTCCCCCATTTTCATATTTTTTCTTCAATGTATCCCTTTTTATCTTTTCTGGTTTATTATCCTAAATAAAATCAAACATACATTTTTCTAACGTTTTTATAATTTTCAAGCTAGGTAAAGGTAATACAGATAAAGCATAGATCAGTTTTGGTAAAGCAAAAACTTTGATGACAGTAACTTTTCCAAGAAGTGTAAGTTTTCGGTGTTGCCATTGTTTTAAACAATTTTTAAAAAGCATCAATTTTAGGTTCTAAATTCTTTTGGAGAGTTAAAATAGAGTTTGTACAAAATGTCATACCTAAAGTTTTTGCATGGTCAGAAGTCAATTGGAAATTTCGATTTCGGCAATATTTAGTTTTCGGAGTTTCTTAATGAGCTTACTTTTAATACGTTACATTTCTTTTCATTTAATTTTAGGCCTGATATTTTGTTGAAATCATCGAGTATTGCAATTAATGTTTCGAAAGATTCTTTTTACCCATCAGTTACAAAGGTTGCATCATCCGCAATTAACACATTTTTATATCTCGATTCCATTTATGTTTATGCCTTTTATTTTTTCATGTTTACATATACAGTTTGAAAGGAGTTCGATGCATACAATAAACATATATGGAGAAAGTTGCCATCCTTGACGTACACCTCTATGTATTTTAAAGAAAAATCTGACATGTGTCCGTTATTGATAACACAGCTTTGTGGGTCATTGTATAAAAGTTGTATCCATTGGATTATTGTATTGCCAAAATTAAAAAATTCCAAAACTTGAAAAATAAAGTTATGGTTGATACTATCAAAGGCTTTTTCAAAGTCTGTAAAAGATAAAAGTGCATCTTGGTTGTTACGAGCCAGGCGTAACGAGAAAGAAAAGCCAGCAACAAACTTGTAACAATAACAAATTTATTACAGAAAAATTATTAAAGAAAAATAAAATAACAAA